GGGAGGGAGGGAGGGAGGGAGGGAGGGAGGGAGGAGCATCAAGCCACAGACACAATGTTATTCGACAGATGGCAGAGATGACACGTATAGACCATGCCAGCAGCTCCCAAGCACCTAGAACACTTTGAAGCAATGAAAGCGCTGAGGAAGTCGGATTGGACTCAGGAAGGGCTGTTGTACCCCTAGGCATTCTTCAAGCGCTTCCATGCGTGAGCAATTTCTACCTTCTCCCGGAGATTCACCTCTTTCTCTCCTGGATTGCCTTTGGCGGATTTCGCTTCCTTTTGTCTGAGGCCAGTAAGACACTAAACTGCAGAGTCAGCACCCACATATCTCCTCTCCATTCCTGCTGTGAAATCTTCTTTCCATCGATGTTTGGATCTCCTTTATGTAAATCCAACAGAGGAGGAGACTGCATCCATCATAGCTCAAAATTGTCAGCGGGCTGACATCACACCTTATGCTGTTCCCTCTCCTGACGACAGAGCAAGAGACTTTGAATATCCACATGGCCACTTGATCGCGCCGCACTCCGCAGAGGTCATAATTCTTTCCACAGCCTGTCAATGTTGACGACATGAAGACACTACAACACGTCGCGGACAACATGTTGCGCTTGATGGAACCTATCTGTTCTGTCTGCCCCAGCAAACGCTACCTCTCTCTGTGTGTCGGTGTCAGTATGCAGTGGAGTTGATGACTTTGCCGATCATTCTCTTTAGAAGCAAAATATGACCATGAAGAGGCATGAACACGACTGACTCTATCTTTTAGCAAACACAAGCCAACAATCTGTTATGAACTGCTAATCGTGCTAAGAGCGTCGGTTCTTCGTACACTGGTTGAGCCTGTGCACATCGGTGCCAGCTTTCCTAAAACATGGAATGAGAAGAAACATAAAGATGCCGCCAGAAACACCCATCCCATCCACCCACACTTCTCGCGAGCAAGTTGCTTCCTCTTTGTCAAAGCATTCTGCACCTCACTCACAATTCAGGTTATCACTCTTTCTCCCTTTAGAACTTGTACATCACTACTGGCAAGAAGATAGACATAACATAGTAGAAGGGGAAACTAAGCGCATTATTCATTGGGAAGGGCGGTGGGGACGGGTGGGGACATGAGGTATGCTCTATGCTCATCGGTCGTCAACCCCATACTGGAGATTCCTGAGAGACACTGAGTGGCATTTGCCTGCTGCGCCGCCAACGAGATCTGACGCAAACAATGCAACAACGCACGCTGACAGGGTGATTCATGAATCATGAAGACGCAGACGCCATTTCCTCTTCGATCTCTTTGATGGCAGAGTCTTAACACAAGGGGCACCGACTGCTTTGCAGCAACAGCATGCACACCATCAACCCGCAGAGGACTTGTGAGCATCCACAAAATAATCACCAAGGCATCCAGTTCAACAACGTCAACTGCATGATGCACACACCGTAGGGCTAAGAAGGCCAGGAATATCAACCCCTAACACAAAACAGGGGTACACATGCCCCCCCCCCCCCCCCCCCCAACCCCATTTCCTCTTCGGCTGTAGAGTCTTTACACAAGGGGTAATAACTGTTTTCCAGCAACAGCATGCACACCATCAGTCCACAGAAGCGTTATGACGATTGACAAATATAATCACCAAGGCATCTAGCTCAACGACGTCAATCGAATGATACACATACTGCAGAGCTAAGATGAGCAAGAATACAGCCCTTTACTCGAGACTGGGGCACACATGCGATCCTAAACCTCATTTCCTCTTCGACCGTAGAGTCTTTACGCAAGGGGTAGCAAGTACTGACAACCGCTTTCCACCAGCAACAGCATGCACACCATCCGCTCACGAAGAGGTTACCTGCCGAGGCACATCCCGCTCAACACGGCGATAATGGCGATAATCGAATGATACACATACTGCAGGGCTCAGATGAGCAGGAATGCCAACCCCTTACATTAAACAGGCGCAAGCATGCCATCCTAGTTGCTCACATCCTGCCCTCGGACAGACAGGACAGGAAAATCACCGATAACGGGAAGAACGGAGGAGAAACACACCTTGCCCCAGTCGTTGACTTGATCCCATGACACCCTTCCTAGCCATTTCCCAGTGAATTTTCGTAATCAAACCTTAACTGTTGTTCAAGTGATTGGGGGACCGGTCGAACATTACTCTCCAGATGAAAGCGTGCGATAGAACCATCTCGAGTTCTTGATGAGTCCACTTGGTCGTCGGAAGATGCTGAAAGAACAACACCATGTCTTGGAAATCCAAGTGCTGAAGCTGGTCCTTCCACTGGGGAATCACAAACAGGAAATTCAAAACAGATTGAAAAGGACAGACACTGAATGCAACTGGCAGCTCCGCACCAATTCTCAATAAAAGGACATGTTTAAACCGCCAGTACACGGCCCCAGCCTTTTGCTGAAAAAGAAACTCCTAGCCTACGAAAAAATTCAGAGGCTCTGCCTACTGTACCACGATGGCTGGCGGCCACAGCCAACAAAAAAAACAGAAACAGAAGTGTGCAGCTGGCAATTCGGACAAGCTCGGCACACAGCAAGGGGCCTTCAGGCAGAGGGGTGTATTTAAGGAACCCCTCACATCTGCCAGTTGTGTGTTCCATGTTAAAGCGATATGACCCTCTTTCCTCCTATTCAAGTGGGTCCAATTTGCACCGCATATTCCATCGTCAGACCACACAGCCAGGTAAGGAGCCCGCCACTCATCATGCTCATGGTGGCATGGAGGAAGCTCGAACCACAGACTTGAGTGTCGCTCTGACTGCCGATCTAAGTGCCGACTGCAGATCACATTCGACGTGATGTGCATTGTGCTAGGCATTTCACCATATGCTCAAACTGACATGCAAAAGGTTCGAACACCTCAGCTTCGATTGCCATTGCGACTACTGATCTTCGAGTCGTGGTGCTCGACGTGAGATGTCAGTGTAGTTCTACCCACAGGGTTGATTGCGGTTGTGACCACTGATTGTCGTGGTGCTCAAAGTGAGATGCCCAAGGTTCTAACTACCAGGTTTGATTTGACTGTGTTTGCGACTACTGATCTTCGTTAGCCATCTAAAAGAAACATGCAAGAGGTTATCACTACTGATCTTCATGGCGCCCTCAGTCGCAAATGGAAAGACTGGCCCAACTCGGAAACCGCCCACATGGCTCCAGTTACCGCCTAGATCACCCATAGGCCCAGAGAGATGGCGGCAGTAATTTGCCTCCCTGAGTCCCCGCTTAGGCACCACCGCCCAGGCAGAAGGCCAGAAGCAAAACCTAGCAGCACAATGCTTCAACGGGCATACTTTTCCTCAAAGGTATCGGTTCTCAGGAATGCAAATATCGCAGGATGAGGGTTTGTGATTGTCCTCGGCATCTCTCCTGTGTGGTCACCATCTGTGTAATATGCTATGAGATATTTCTCTAAGTACTTTGTTATGGGATGTTTGTAATGTTTTCATGGGTGTATGGTTGTACTGCGGCTACTGCCTATGAGACCAGAGCCAGTGTCTTTTTTTTTCACTCGGCACATTTCCTTCATCCTGTGAAGATTATAGCTAGCCCAACAAAGGTTCTTTGATTGTGGAACTGAAACCAAACGACGGAAACAGAACCATAGGATCCATGTGTGTCAGCGAGCCCAATTTATGTCCTCTCCTCCCAGGCTGATTTCCCGGGCCCCCAGACCACACCCGGAATGGTGTCTGGGAGCCCGGCCCGGCATGAGGCCTGGGCAGGCCCTCCGACGCTCCGCCCGGTCTCTGTCCTCCATCCCCATCTTTCTCCATCCATTCCGATCTTTCTCCTCCTCCTCTTCCTCCTCCTCTTCCTCCTCTTCTTCTTCTTCTTTCACTTCTTATCCATCCCGATATTTCTCCTCCACCCGTATCTTTCTCCGTCCACCCCGATTTTTCTCCTCCTCTTCTTCTTCTTCTTCTTCTTCTTCTTCTTCTTCTTCTTCTTCTTCTTCTCCATCCATCCCCATCTTTCTCAATCCACCCCGATTTTTCTCCCCCTCCTCCTCTTCTCCTTCTCATCTAATTGTCCTCCACCTCCTCCATTGTGTGCTGTGTGCTGTGTGCAGTGTGCGCTGTGTCGCTGCACAACAAGTACTCCCCCTCCCCCTCCCCCCTTTTCTTCTTCTTCTTCTCATTTAATTGTCCTCTACCTCTTCCGCTGTGTGCTGTGTGCTGTGTGCTGTGTGTGCTGTGTGTGCAG